GAGAGGGAGAGGGAGAGGGAGAGGGAGAGGGAGAGGGAGAGGGAGAGAATAATGTAGATGTTCAATTTCTGGCTAATTACTTCCCAGTCACTCTGATGTCTTATCAGTGTCCGCTGTCTTCTGCTAACCACCGACCACTACACAAAGAAACGTCTCTGATGTCTGGGAGTTGCACTAATCTGTGGGTATAGAGGTATGAGTTTAGAGAGCAGTTGGATAATATAGCCACTTGACAGAATAATAGTAGTAAGTTTATCCCTGTGGCTGGTGAGCTCTGGGCCAGATTTCTAGCACTAAGCATGCATTTCCTCTTCTGGAGCAGGCTTTAACCCCAATCAGAAAGTGCTTGGTTATCCCCATCAAATTTTCTGCCACCACTGCACCCAGGGGCCTATTGCCTTACTGGTCATCAGAGTCGTTCGCAGAGTTCACAACTGAGTAAAATGATTGGCAATTTCTTTCTCCTAGCAGCCTCCATAGCACCTACCAGGACTATGAGTGAGTCAGGGAAATGAAGCTTCCTGCTCAGTACCAACTGGATTTCTGCAAGTCCCGTGACTGAAGGACACATGAACATTTTAAGTGGTCATGTCATGCCTGCTGTGTGAGAAGGTTCAATTCATTCCTACTTGTGTCTCCAAGGATGAGAGTATCTATGAGAGGGATCACTGTTATGTGATGTCTGGTCCTATGTGACAAAGACATGTACGTTTCTCTCTACAGGAAAAACATAGCCAAAGTTTCTGGCTGAATCTCAAAAACATAAAAACCTCAATTCTTTCAATTTAACTCTTTTCTTTGGAATGTAAATCCATTTATCTGGGTACTTGAAGAGATGGTAATAGTCAATTACCCTCTCATTTAAAAATATTTTAAGTCTTTTCCTAAGAGCTAGTTTTAAACCCAGAAAGAAAACATTTATGTCCCAGCTAATTAAGTAATTTGTGCAGTCATTAATTCGGGAAGTCGACGAACGCTTATGATGACGAGCCCAACAACAAAACTCATAAGACGGAGATTGTCAAGTCCATTATCCTCGGGATGCTCAGACTGGTTTACAGAGGCAAAGCCGCAGTGTGGCTTGTGTGAAGGCGCACAGAGGAAATCATTCTGGAAACAAAGTAAACAAAAGGTGTATGTTTCCAAATGCAAGAACTATCTCACAGTTTTGTGTCCAGACCAAGCTGCTTGTTTCATTGATTAGGATTAGCGGAGTAGCAACCCAGACCAAAGGAGTAACATAAATCAAGCAAAGCATAGACGCGAAGGTAGAACATTCTTGCAAGGAATATGCTGATTCACAAGGAGGTTAACTGAAATAAGTCTCTTTTGTCTCCAAGGAGCTGATTCAGTCTGGTTTGGGTGTTTCCAAAAGGAGTGGGAGAGAAGGGGAAGACTAGGAGAGGGAGGAACCTGCTTCTGGAATTTGTTTCCTGCTAACCTAGAGGCTCTACTCAAGCCATCAATCACTGTCTGACTTTTTTTGGCATTTAATGTTTGCATAGCGATGCAACAGTGAGGAGGGATGGAGACAGATGCTTTCGTTTGCATAAGCTCCCTTGTGTGTCAAGGCTTACTAAACAAACACTGCAGTAAAGCAGGGGACTTGGGCAAGTTGAGATGTACCAGACATTTCTTTCCTTTGTGATTTAAATAGAAAATATCTCTGCAAAGAAGACAGTGCACAGCAAATATAGTGCATTCACATTATGAGCAGCCCAGGAAATAGATGATGCCTAGCTGGCAAGGAAGGGAAGGCTCCAGAGTTGAGATGTTCCTCATAGCTCTGTTTAATTATCATTCAAAAAAAAAAAAAGAAAAGAAGAAAAGGCAAGTTCACATCTGTTTACTCAACAGACCCACACGAATCTCACTGGTAGCATGGGATTTATCGGTTTGCTCATTTTCTTGGGTCTGTAAATTCAATTTCTTAAGATACGAAAGTCCTGAAAGTTTTAAGAAAAGCGATAGCCGTGATGCAGGAACACAAAAATAACCATGAAAAAAAATCTTATGAACGATATGAAAATCTGGCAATATGAACTTTTACAAAATGAATGACAATGTATGGATAGCCGTGTGTGTGTGTGTGTGTGTGTGTGTGTGTGTGTGTGTGAGAGAGAGAGAGAGAGAGAGAGAGAGAGAGAGTGTTTATGGATGATGGAGGTTACTATCAGTGTGTGTTTTCTTTCCTCTCTACCTCATGTTTTATTTAGGAAACAAACAAACAAAGCAAAAA